TGTTTGAAGTTCCAGCCTAGGTAGGGCATTCATCGAGAGAGAAAAAAACTTATAGGGGTCGTTTGGATTAGAGATTTTAATAACGAGGGATTTCAATTAAAATCTCTCGTTTAGAAAACCAGGTTAATTAATTGTAGGATTTACAAGAAATATCCTGTTTGGTTATGGATCCAGAATTTTAATTTAAAAGTTGAAGTTCAGTTTTGCCCTTCTTCTTCCTATCTTCCTCCGCTCCTCCTTCATCGTCGACGCTATACAACCTTACCCAAACCCAGAAAACACGAGGTTCCCTTCACTCATCTTCAGCCACCGCCACCAAATCTCAAACCCAAAACCCACCAATCAAGACCCAAATCACCACTGATCGGAGAGGTTGCATGTCCCAGGAGAGAGTTGGGTTCATCGACGAGGTTTGTGGGGAATAGTGTGGTCGGCGGTTTCGATTCCTTTTCTGATTCGCAGCTCCCAGATTACAAATTGACGAACAAGAACCAAAAATCCTACAACTTTAATCGACGAACCAGAACCCTCCTTCGATCTCTTCTTTTCATGGGAAAAAAATAAACAACCAGACAGATCTGAAATTGATTTTTCCGGGCATCCTCATGAACAACCAGCGCACTCATTAGTATTCAGCGTTCGGAGCCATCGGCGCCCCGGCCAATATTCAGCACCCACGTCCTCGCAAGATCGCCGACGTCCTCGCAAGATCGTCGACCTCGGTCGTGTCGATTTTCTCCCGCACAAGCGCCTGCTGCTACCTTCTCTTATGGTGATGCGATTGGAAGGGGTCGGGAGGGAGAAGAAGATGATGTCGGCAAGGGGGGATGAGGGGATTGGTCAGAGAAAAGAAGGAAGAAGAAGATGGAACAAGAAGTCGAAACGTAGGTGAAGCTGATATGAGAAGAGGAATAACAAAATGGATGAGGGTAGACTTTGGAAAAATGTAATAAAAAATGAGGGATTGTGAAATAGCTGGTCTCCATCAGCTATTTTGAAAACCTGCATATTAGAGATTCTTAAATCACTAATGATCACAATCTCTTGTCTTCCCAAACACATGATTTTATTAAAATCCTGCATAACGAGGGATTGTTTTAAAATCCCTCACAAATCACTCACCAGAAACCCATATCCAAACGACCCCATAGCTTTTTCACATTCCTACATATATTCATAAACTAGCACAACTGTAAAATGAGCAGGGGCCGGCGACCGATCAAATCGAATAATGAACCACAAGGTAATATAGTCAGGACGGAGAAGAACTGGATCATCTGATCGAAACTTTTAATTCCAATTCGTTCGTCTACATATCTTGTTTGATAGAATCTGCTACAAGACTCATAGCGATATATGTCGAAAAAAGTGGAGGATTAAAGAGTAATCGTCTCATGACTATCTCAACCTATATATAATAAAATTATGAATTCTATGCTAGAATAATTATAACATTAGATCAACTCTAAAAATCCAACATTATTACGATAATCAAAAACTTACTGTATCCACCAAGAAGTGAACTTTGGAATGCTACAATCACGAGAAGGATGGCAACCTTAGGCACTTCCATAAAAAAAACCATGCAATTATGTTCTTCAAGTTATTTATAAAAGAAATTAATTGAGTGGGAGAGCAGTGAAGAAAGAGAATAGAGGCTTATAGACTTTCTTAAGTACTGTTTGATTTTTAAGCTCCCAGTGAGGTGTAATGCAGGAAAATAGAGAGAAAAATAAGTTGCCTTTACTGTTTGTTTTTAATGGGAGGGAACTAGAAAGTTGAACATTTTCATCAGTTAAAATAAGTAAACACATCTCAAGAGCAGTCAAAAGTTCTTCCTATCATAGTGTCACTCTCAAACTCAGCTCTGTCTATCCCACTTGTTTCTTTATCATGGAAAGAGGTTTTCGGAAAAGAGGAGGAAAAAGAGAAAGGGTAAAGACAAAAGAGAAATAATGATTAAACTATAAACATATCGCATTTTTTTATCTCTTATTAGTGTACAAGTTTGCTGCTTACAAGATCTAAAAAAGTTATGCATAATAAAAAAAAATCTTGACAATCTGATAACTAAGCAGAAAGTTATGTTCGTTTGAAGTTTCAACCAAACTAAGACATCAATCGAGAAATAAAAACTTATAGGCTTTTTAAATTTCTATATATTTTGATAAACTAGCACAACCTTATAAACCTGTGTGACAACCTTAATCCAAATATGACAATAGTAATTATAATAATAACAAAGTTCGAGTGTCTATCATATATCCAACCTTCTCAACTTATATTAACAAACACATGCACTTAGCTACTATAGTTAAGATAAAGAGGAACTGGGTCTTCTAATTAAAGCCTTTTATTTCCAACTCGTTCGTCTTCAAATCTTGTTTGTTAAAATCGGCTACAAGAATCATAGAGATATCCGTGGGGAAAAGATTAAGATTAAAGATTACTCGTTTGATTTTCATCTCAGCCTATATATAATAAAATCTTGAATTCTTATTTATAATAATTATAATATTATAAAAAATATAAACAAACAACATTGTTATGATAATAAAAAAAGCTTACTGTATCTACCGAGAAGTTAACTTTGTCCTGCTACAACCACGATATAATAATAATAATTACTGTTATAATTAATCCAAATATAACAATAATACTTTGATAAAAAAAAAACTTACTGTATCTACCGTTGTGATAACATTAATCCAAATATAACAATAATAATTATAACAATAACAAAGTTCACGTGTCTGTCACTTTCCCAACCTTCTCAACCCAAATTAACAAATACATGCACCAAGCTACTACATAACATATGTCACATAATCTCAAACCATATTAACAAACACATGTATCAATCTACTACACAATAGATGTCCACAAATTCTAAATTCCACAAATTTCAAATTTGTAATCTCAAAAATGTATAATGGGCTTATCGAAAGTGTATGTATGAGAGCTAGAAAAGTAAGTAAACAAACGTCTCATTATGAACGTAGTACTGATATAGCAATTTTCATCACAACATTGTTATGATAATAAAAACTTATTGATTTAAATTGCTATATCAGTATCTACGTTGATAATGGGACGTTTGCTTACTTGTTTTTCTAGTTCTTAGACACACATATTTCCGATCAGCCCATTATACATTGTTGATATTACAAATTTGAGATTCGTGGACTTAAGAATTCGTGGACATCTATTGTGTAACGCTGACATCCCGGCGATGATCAGCAGAGGACGCCGACCGATCCAGTCTGACAATGCCCCGGAAGGCACCATGGTCAGGACGGAGACGAGTTGAACTGTGTCCGCAAAACAAGCTTTATCTACTGCCTTCATATCCAGATCCTCTTTGACGAAATTCGATACCAAGCTCATAGAGATCTCTGGAGGGAGGGAAAAGTAGAAGAAGAATTACTTTGTCAAGTCAAAACATAAACATTTTCAACGAATCACTAGTCTAAATATTATAATCGTACTACTAAAATCGAAACACATACCGTAGCCACAAAGAAGGGAAGACTGGCAAGCCACACATGCCAGTAGAACAGTGTATCTTTTCACGTGTACCCAAAATCGCGCCATCGTCGTCTTCTGTTCAAACCTTTGAAATGAAAATTAAAAAAGAAGATGAAAACGGGATGAAGATGAAAACGGGAGAAGAGAATTATCAATTGTTGGATGGGGTGAGTGAGAGTAAAAATACCACTGTATTCGTCTGTTTGATGGGTTTTTGTTTTCTAGAATTCGTCTGTTTGGTGTTGGGGTGAGGTGATACTTGAGACTTGAGGGTAAAAACTAAATAGTAAAAACACCACCGAGTCCGAACTCGTCTATTTGCTGTCTCAATATCACTCTTGTTTTTCCTTTTTCTGTTTTTTCCCGTTTTTCCTTTTCTATCTTAAAAGATATAAATAGAAAAAAAATGTTAAGCAAGGCACATCCATCCAGGGCTCCAGGCAATAATCACGGCTCAAGTTAGGGTGCATAACCAATCAATAACCAAATCTGGACCATTCATTTAGAAAATCCAGATCTAAGGATGGAGAATTAAAGGCTATTTTTATTTTCACTAGCTTTCTTAATTGACTCATATCTTTTTCGTTTTAACTCGGATTTTAATTTTTTTTGCACAGATGGAACGAGTTTATCGTGCTCTACAAATTGAGATCAATTTTCAATATTTTTTAGGGAAAAAAAATTCTGGCCTCTCGGTACCAACTACATACCATATGGTATCTTCTTCGTTTTTAATTCGTTTTTGAAAACGTTTGCACAACAAGGACGAGTTCATCATGATCTATTGGATCTACAAATTTCTGGGTGAACAAATTACAAGACCAAAAAATACCACATAATACCATACAATACCACCCTGGTACGGGGGTGGTATCTTATGGTATCTTATGGTATACAATGTTAAAAGTCGTAAATGACAATTAATATACTTCTACTATCATGTATTCAACCATCCTACAAATTTCTGAGTGAACAAATTACAAGACCAAAAAATACCACATAATACCATACAATACCACCCTGGTACGGGGTGGTATCTTATGGTATACAATGTTAAAAGTCGTAAATGACAATTAATATACTTCTACTATCATGTATTCAACCATCCTATAGTTTTAGTTTGTGTCATACCACCATGGTACGCTTTTTAATCCGTAGGTATGCTCTTATTTCAATACCAGTCAATACCATATTGTATAGACTGGTAAAAAATGGCTCAATTTTGTTTTTTGTTCGAAATTATATCAAAGTGGATATCATTTTGAAGAGCACAATTAATCTGATCTAACTGTCCAAAAAAAATTAAATTTCGACTTAAAACGAGTGAGAAATCGTCCGTCAAAAATTAAGGAGAGAAAAATTAAAGACTTTCCAGGAGAGAGAGGATGCTGATATGATGCTGATGTGTGCAGGTTACTCATAGTTAGTCACCATAATGATGCTGAATAATGTATGCAAGTAGAATTAGTAACACCCCCCTCCCACCGATTGTAAATCTTCCTCTTCTCTTCTCCCTCTGTGCTGCAGTCCATCTTCCCCTCTCTCTCTTTCTCGCCTCTGCAGATCCCAAACTTGGCCTTCATTCACATGGATTCCATAAATAGCAGCTGCTGTGAACCTTCGTCACCAACGACGACGGCGACCTTGAGCACCCGCCGGCGTCCATGTCCGCCACCGCCGGAGGCAGTTGCCAACCTACCCACATGCTCCGCCTCCCCTCTTCTCACAAATTCCTCCATCTCCTTCACCACCGCCGACCCCAGTTCCTCCCTTCCCATCTCACTCTGCCTCTTCCCTCCACTACGACCCGCTTTCCTACCTCAACCTACCGCCGCAGCCGCCTCTCTTCAGGGATCTATTCCTTTCCAGTACCTCCCCTCCCACGGCGGAGTCGATCTCCATGGAGAAGGAAGCAGCGTGGGCGGCGGCGCCTCCTCTGCACGTGGGATTAACGCAGCAGACGGGATCGATGGATCTCAGCATCGTTTTGGAGTTCAATTGGGACATAGCGGCTTGTCTAGCCAAAGGGAGGGCAGCTGGAAGAATGGCCAAGCCACTGACAACAGAGCGCCAGAGGAGGCAGCAAATTAACGACAAGTTCGACACCCTCAGGAATTTGATTCCCAATCCTACCAAGGTAAAGCCAGGTTAACATTGAATTGCAATTTTCCCGACCTTCCTACAATTTTAATAGCGAATTTCATTCATGGATGGTGTGTTTGTGGGGGTTGTGCCAAAAAGACCGACAAAGCTTTAGTGGTGGGAGTCTGGGAGACGCAATTGGCTACATCAAGGAGCTTTTAAGCACAGTGGAGGAACTGAAGTTGCTGGTGGAGAAGAAGAGGTGCAGCAGATGGAGGATCAAGAGGCACAGGACGGATCAAGAGGACGTGAAGGAGAGCTCGTTGGAGGAGATGAAAGCTTCGTCCGCAGCTGCCGAGGTTGATGAACAGGACAAATCCTACAATGGGTCGACATTGAGGAGCGCTTGGCTTCACTTCAGAGGAAGTCTAAGGACACGGAGATTGATGTGAGGATCATTGAAGATGAGGTGACCATTAAGTTGGTTCAGAGGAAGAAGATCAATTGCTTGATGTTTGTTTCCAGGGTGCTTGATGAGCTTCATTTGGATCTTCACCATGTCGCTAGAGGCCATGTGGGTGATTTTTACAGTTTTCTCTTCAATACCAAGGTCTGCCTAGTCTTTTCTTTTCTTGTTGGTTTGGAGTTGAGTTTCTTCTATTGTGTTTCCATGTTGGTAACTGAGCCTACATAGTTGAACTTATTCTTGTTGTTGTTTTGAATTTGAGCAGATATGTGAAGGGTCTTCTGTGTATGCAAGTGCCATAGCCAACAAGCTAATTGAAGTTGTGGACAAACAGTATGTATCCTCCACTCCTTCAATAAGTTGCTACTGATGATCCAGAGAGGGGCCATTTTTAATTAGGGTTTATGAGTTGGGGACTCAGATTTCCACACAAGGGAGCTAGAGCAAAAAGGGGCTCAAAAGAATCCATGCACTGCAACAGTTTAAACTGCTGGAAAGAGATTGGTAGGCATCAATACCATAGTTGGTAGTTGAATGAACAAGTTTTTATGTGTAAAGACACTGGTAATACCAGTGGGGGAAATTATGTTAAATAGTTGATGTTGATGACTAATTTCCCCTATAGATGGGGCCTCACATAAGTTGCATGATCGTACTGCTGTTATCCATCTGTTGTATATATATATGTTGATGGTTTGTGTTGTTAATGTTGCATGTTTCAACTGTAAGGGATACTGTTAATTGATTAATGAATGGGGTTATGGCGCTCTCTGATTTCTTATTAGCCTCTTGTGTTTCACATTGCATTCCTGGTTTTTTACTATTAATGCATGCAGTCCTGTGGAGGTCTCTTTTTGGCTGTCACTCTCAGTACTAAGGGGCTGTTTTCTCAAAATGCAGTAGTTGGACTCAATTCTCATGTTTGGGTATACATAAACCATGTTTCAAAAAAGCGCACCTAACCTCGCCAATATTTTATCTTCCTGGAGTCGTACTGCTGGTGGCGCAAAGTAGAATGAGTAGCACCCAAACAGATCTTCAAGGTTTAAAGACAGTGAATCAGTTTGTCAATACTGAAATCAAATACAGGGGAGGCTAAATTCTAATACCAACTTTCAACAAACTATTTCCAAAACCATTTGACAGCACTTGATGCAGGTTGGATAGTTGTAACTCCTGCAAATCCAGGGTCCGGGAAGCAGATATGGCAACCAAGGCAGAACTGTGCGAATTCTGATGTTGACATCTAAGCACTTCTGTAGTACACCACTCAAACAAACAGCCAGACCTTATTCTGGGAACAGAAAAGCTGCTGAAGCTTCTAACCTAGCTTTTGGAGCACCGAGCAACCCGTTGATGAAGTTAGGGAATTTGCTCGGTATCTTTACAGGTGGACAACCAGAACAAGAACATGTTGCAGACCTTTGCTTTCTTATTTACATTAGTGGTTCTAGTCTGAATTGTTCATGAGGACTCCAGCCTGTCGGGCAAGAAAACTTTCAAATGAGGGGCTGCAACAGACGTTTGAATTGTGTCTCCATACTGAATACTATGCACAACGTTGGAACCGTCAATGTATAGAAATCCCTTCTCTGAGGACCAAGTCATCTCCATGGCCTCGTCTGGCTTCATAGTCCCATGCATCATCAAGCTAGAAACAACAGTTGCAGGTGAAATGGGTTCTCGAACCATGTATTGGAGGTCTTGCGATAAGATCGGCATCTCGAACCCACCTGCTGAGAGCATTGCAGCTGTTGAACCGGCAGCAGTTGAGACTCTGATGCCACTTGATCTACAGTGCACTAGTGGCGTACTTGATTTGTCACCCCTTGTAATCCTGCCAAAAACAAGGAAACAAGATGGATAACATCCCAGCAGCGTATTTGGTTTTCTAGCAAACAGGAAAAACGCCCCTTTACCTAAATGAAAATCGAGAGACTGTTGCAGGGCATGGGTGTGCTACCAATATGTCGTTAAGGGCAAACGTTGATAACAGCTGTGAGTTTACTCGTATCGACATCCTCAACAATTCGGAAGGCTGTTTACGACCGTCTAGGATATCATCTAGAACCTGAATACATTTGTGTCAGCTAGGAATGAGGAAGGACAGTATGTCCCTTTAGCAGAAGAACGATTTCAATCATACTATAACAAACACACAAGGTAAGTTTTTACCTGTTCAAAGTTATTCATAGTTGCCGCACACAGGTAGCCAGTGCTCCTGGTAGCATCAAAATCGTCACCAAATTCCTCAACCTACAAGAGAAGGCAGTGTAAAATGCAGCAAATTCCCAGATGCTACATAGACTGGATCAAGAGCCCTACCTCTTCAACTTTAGTTGGGTCTGAGTTCACTCCAAGAACCGGAATTGAATCGTCCATGAAATGACTTGCTTTCAGAAGAGTGCCATCACCACCAACAGTAACAACAAAATCAAAATTATGAATTGGTTGAGACAGGTTAGCACGCAAAACCGGTTCCCAATCAACTGCCTTCCTCTGTAAAATGCTCTGACAGAAGTTCACAGCTTCTTTGTGGACCTTCCGCCTATTATCTAGGAATTGAAAAATCTGCAATGATAGATGTCCACATTAGATATATGGAGAGGCAAGCAACAGCCGACAAAGGGCTTAACTCGGCAATTGAATTATTTCGAATTATGCAAAAGAGCTTTTAGCTCCAGAAAGGGGAAAAACAAAGAACAGGGGTAGAATAAATAGAGAAACTTTGGTGCCAAGAAGTTCTCCTTACAGAAATCGGGGATCTTTCAACCTCTATACCTCATATACCACGTCGAACTCTACAACAGAGCATGACTAAGCTGAAGAAACTCTTGTTGTAACAAAAATTGATTGATAAGTCAATTGGATTGTTAACAGCCCAAGCCTCAAGGTATAGGATCCAGAATGAAATAGACGCAGACCCCATAAAAGCAAAAAGGGGAACTTTGTCCTGAGTGAGGCATTTCATCGAACAGGACGTCTTCGTGGCATTCAAGCTGAACACAAGACAAGAAACCCAGAAAGAAGACCTATCGATTCCCTACCATTTTAATAATTAAACTAACTAACACCCTGACAAAACCAACGGAGAAGTAAAAGTTGGGTAGTTCGTGGAAATGCATTCACCTTGGGATTGGTAATGCGGGACTGACAGAAGTGTTGGCCAACTGGGTACATGTCAAAAGGCTTCAAGAGCAGTAGCAGCCTCCTCTTCGCCATACTTGACCTTGTTATCACTCTCGCTGTCTAATCCCAGGGCATGGACGCATCTTCCGGAGCCAATTAGCGTTGGTTGCTGGAATTCTTGTTCACTGCCGGCAAATGCTGAATGTGAGACGCCATTTAGTTAGAGTGTCTCTGGTTCAAGACAAGAGTCTTAGACTCTTAAAAAGCATTGGGCTTAGCGGCGGGCTTCACGGGCGATGACCCAATATGGCAATCCATCGTTGTTGTCAAACCGTTTATACTTTTTTTTTTTGGTTGTAAACAGAGCGCAGAGGGGCGCTCTAACCCTTATATATTAATCGAACGGGGCATCTGAACCCCAACAAGGTCATACATCAGCCAGTAGCTCAGCCGAGGGTCCGGCACATCGAACAAATGAATACCAACCGGAAGATCATGGCTAACAGACGCCATATAATCAGCAGCATAATTCCCCTCCCTGAATACATGATCAATACTGACCTCCCAGTCTCTTGCCAACAGATTTCGAATAGCCGCCGTCATCGTGTAGTGGGGGTGATTTACCTGATCTGACTGTAGAAGAGATATAGCTGCCGCCGAGTCGGTCTGCAGCTTAACCTTACGCGCTCCTGACTCCCATGCACTTCGCAGGCCTTGGGCAATTCCAGCTAGCTCGGCGTGCATGATCGAACCGCCGCCCAAGTTGACAGAGAAAGCCTGCAAAAATCTTCCCTCGTTATTTCTTATAACTCCGCCAGCCGTAGCTATACCCAGAGCCGGGATCACCGAACCATCCGTGTTAACTGCTATCCAACCCGACGGGGGGTGTTGCCAGCTGATCATCCGAACCGTCCGCCTTCCAGTGTCGTCGATAATCCCTTGAGCTTTGGCGAAAGCATTATCCGTCTGCTCCTTGATAAATCGGGCCCTCACCGCTAATCCTTCCATAGGGGCAATGGTTTCATTAAACACCCAATCATTCCTATTTTGCCATAGCTTCCAACAAATGATGCCGAAAAGAGAGGCATCTAGCGCTACCCCTCTCCCACTAAGGTAATGCATGAACCAACGTCTCGTGTCCTGTTCGAAGAAATTCACATCCGGTTCATCCTTCAACACATACGACCAAACTCCTCTGGCATAGGGGCAGTCTCGAAGAACATGGATAACCGATTCAGGCCCCTCTCCACAAACTGGGCAGTGGCTCGACTGAGCTAGATGGCGGCGGGTTCGTTCAACATTAGTAAGGAGGCGTCCATGCAGCGCTAGCCACAGGAACGTTTTCGTTCGCTGAGGCCCCTGAAGTCTCCAAGTCTTCTTCCAAATCGGCTCCGGCTGGCCATTATTAACACCCGATCCCGTTAGCTCGTACGCTGTTTTTAACGTGAACTTCCCCGACTCTGAGTAGCGCCAAAACGGTGTATCGGGGCTGTTCCCAACCGGAATAGGGTGCAAACATAGCTGGGCCACTACTTCCTCAGGGAGAAACGCTCGAATGAAGGGCAGATTCCAGTCCTCATTGAGCACCATCTCGGCAACGGTGAGGTCTCTCGCTGCCTCGGGGAGTCCATGAGCAAACATGGCCAGAGGTTGACCATCCGTGAGCCATCTATCGGTCCAAAAGCGGACCTGCAATCCACTGTCAAACCGTTTATACTAATGTGCCGGTTTAGCAAATGAAAAGATTCGACCAATTGTACAACCTGTTTGAGCCAGCTCATGTTGATTTAACAAAATATGTAGAAATGTGAAAAATCATTAATATCAAATGAATTTAATCATGTATAAATTATATTTGGAGACAATTTAGAATTTACTTATAAATCATATTCATATTTAAATAAATTATGATATTTCAAAGAAAATAACAAATATTCATATTTAAATACAATATTTATACTTGAATCCAACAAATACTATCAATACTTAACTTTTATTTATAAATAAATAATATATTTTTCAATTAAATTCACTAAAAATGACATGATTTTGCTTAATTGTCTTAAATTGATCATGTCAGTCATACCAGTGTTGTTCAAGCCGACTTCATGAGTAGAACCAGTTGAACTAGGTTCAATCGGCCGCCATGACAACCATGGTATCTGTTTGTGCCATCTAGCTCCGGGCACAAACAATAATTATGGGTTGCGTGGGACTTGACTCGCGATCTGCTCGTCTAATCTCGTCGGGAGGAAGGAAAACTGTGAGATGACAGGGATGTCCCCAAAATATACTCTGACAAACAAGTTAGTTCGTAACTTATAGTGAGTTAAGAGAATAATTAGAGAGAGAACCAAAATATAAAGTGAGGGTGAAGAAGTTGAGTCCCCTCTTGGAGAATTTAGAAGCCTTTATAAAATTCTAGCGGGCATCAAGCGTCAATCTTCTTGGTTAGGCGTCACTGGTGGCTGTCACTCTTGGCACTCTCCGCTAGTCCGCTACTACTTAGTTGCTAGCAATACACTCAGTTGGGTGCTTGATCACTTGAATTTGTGCATGTTATTGTTAGAGGTTAGCAAGTATCAACAACTATCTCATCTTAAGCCAAGTTTAACCTAGAACGACATTGTCGTATAGTGGCAATCAAGGTCG